GGAAGTCTGGGGCACCTTCGCTCGTCATGTTGTTGCCGTTGAACTTCAGGATGCACTGGCCAGCAAAGAGCCCTGTGGCCACAGCCTCTGAACCTCTGCCCACAGCACAGATGTATGGTGGGGTGGCCCCGAGGAACTGGAAGCACAGTGCCTCTGGCTGGTCAGGGGCTTTGATGACCTTTTTGGCCTTGGTGGCCACCAGGAGGCGCAGTGGGCACTGGGAGTAGAAGGACTGGTTGAGGATGGACTCCACCTCCGAGATGGGCTGCAGGAATACCAGGTCCTCATTGATGGAGTAGATCTTCCTCCCCACCTGCAGGCCTGCCATCTCGGCCAGTGAGCCCCTCTGGACCAACTTCACCACCACAGCCTTGTTCTTCTCCTCGATCTCGAAGCCGTAGTCCTCCGTCTGGGGCAAGATCAGCAGGCGCTTGGCCAGGATGTTCTCCACCATCTTGAAGTAATTGAGAAGCTGTTTGTTCTTGTTGCTGGTTCCCTCCATCTCCTCGTCGGCATGAAAGTGGAAGTACTGGGACTCATCCTTGAACTCGCTCTTCTCCAGCACGTGGTGCATGAAGCCGCTGTTACACAGTCCCATGCCAAGCGCCACCACCTCCTCCTGTGTCTGGCAGTCTCCCTGTGCCAGAAGACAGTCCACCAGCTTGTACCCAGGAAGCACCGACTTGTAGGTCTTCAGGTGGTAATCTTGGTCCTTGATCACGGGGTGTAGAGGCTGTGAAGACGGCAGTAGAGCCTCACACCCTTGGATATGATGTCCTCCAGCTCACTCCGGGCCTTGTAGGTGCTGTCATCATAGCGGAAGCGGTACATCACCTGCTCATTCTTAAACTGATGCTTGTCAGAGACGTGATGGATAATCCCGTTCTCTAGGAAGGCCTGGCCCAAGTTGAGCCCTTCTTCTGTCTTGCTGATCTCACCAATTTCCAGGAGCCAGGCAACAAACTCATTGCTGAAGAAGCACTTGGGGAATGTGCTCAGCTTTCTCTGGAGGTCCTTGATCAGGTTCACCTTCTTGCAGATCATCATGTGGTAAAGCTTCTCCCCCTTCTCCAAAATCATGACATGGGTGTCCCACTCTACGCCTAGCTTCAGGCTGTCGTGCCACTCCTGCTCATGGATGATGGTGTCAGCCACTTCTGCTTCTCCTCGGCCGTCTTGGCCATGCAGGCAAACCACTTGTTCTTGGCCGTGTTGTGGATCTTCCAGCCACTGGTGACGGTGTAGCCATGGCCGTGGTAATCCATTGTCCCATCTTCCACGTTCTCCACCGCCATGACTTCCGAGTTGATTCGCCCCCTGAAAATGTAGAGGGAGCCATTGATGGATTTGGTCCTCTTGGTTGATTTCTTGCTCCTGGTGACCCTGGATTTCTGCTTGCAGTAGACAAGGAGATTGTCGAAGAGGAAAAAGGCTGTCTCCTGGAAGTTGCCTGTGGAGATTTTTAACAAAGTTCGTTGGAGGAGGAGCTGGGTGCAGATGTCCGTGAGGTTGGAGCCCTCCCAGCCTTTGATGTGGGACTGAAGCTGCTCCAGGGCCTCCAACTTCTCCATCTGCCATTTGGTCTCCTTGATGTTGGAGCAGACTGTCTTCATGGCCTGCAGAGCGCTCTGGATTGCAGGGTGGTCTGGGTGCTTGCCGGGGGTCCTCTTGGCCAGCTTCTTGAGGAGCAGGGGGTACTTGCAGATCCTCTGAATTGGACGCAGCAAGTAGCCTTCCAAAGCCATGTCTGTGGTCTTGTGGCCTCCCAGAAGCATGCAGCTCAAGAGGAAGGCGCGCACAGTGGAGATCTTGTTCAGCTCCACCAGCAGCCGCAGGGCCTTCTTGTGGTTGCTGCAGTATTCCTCGTACACGCAGAACTTGTCCTTGAATTTTAAGAAAACATGCCCAATTCATCCTGAGACTGAGGTTCCGGATGTAAACAATATTCCAAAGCGGCCAAGAAATCCTTATGAACTTCCAGGATGTCTTCGAAGTTAGAGAACAGGATCTTGCCGTTCTCCTCCGTGATGCCCTTCTCCTCCGAGTCTGCCACATTCTGCCGGATGCAATGCAGGAAGGCCGACTGCAAGAAGCGCAAGGTGCCCACGTAGTCCTTCCCGGTGCCCAAGATCTCGTTGAGGACGCAGAGGCGGAGGCGCAGCTGGCGCTCCAACTCCCGGGCGGCCGCGCACAGGCCGGGGCTGGAGCTGGGTGCTGTGAAGCCGGGGGCTGCAGGTGGGCACCGTCCCCAGCGCAGTCGCCGCTGTGACCGCTGCCGCCACTGCCGCTGGGTTCCTCCATTCTAGCGCGGCAGCTGTAGCGGAGGTAGCGCCGAATGGCGGCCCAGGCGTCCCGGTGCCCCATCCTGGACGGGACGCGTGGGCGGGCCGGCCTCAGCGGCGGGCATGGAGCATGGCGCATGGCGCATGGAGCTGCGGGCGGCGGCGGGCGGCGGGCGCGTGGGACTCTGAAATGTTCAGTTTTGATTTACTTTGTTACATCGCCTTCCAAGAAGTTTCTAGAAATCTCATGAATGAAGACCCTGATGGTACTGGCCACCAGTCTTCAGACTTGCTCAGACATGCCTGAGCAGCAGGGACACGATATAGAGGCTCTAGCTAGGACTCTGGTAGCGAGCGGAACTGTGTGTGTGCATATGTATGTGAGTGTGTGTATGTGTGTGCGTGTGTGATGTACACATGGCAAGAAGTTCAAGGATGAATCATAAGTCAATTAATTAATTAGAGTCCTGTTTAAAGCTCTAATAATGAGTGGAAGCGTTAGTAGTTTGAAAAAAAGCTCTTTTGCCTTTATTATTCATTAGAAACTGGCAGTAAATAATAGGTTTGAATTTCACGGTCCTGATGCTGCTAATCAAAGCACAGGGCATTTCTTAAGATAATAAATTATTATCCCTCGCAACAGGAGCATAAAGAGAATTTGGCTTTATGAATTGTTAACTGGGACAGTAGCCTCTGTCTGGGTCAGGGGCTGATTCAGAGGCAAGAAGGCTGGCAATCACATCTCGTAACTGGAACATTCTTACAGATTGGGCCGGGCAGTTTCTTCAGTCTCACAATAGCCCACTTGCCTGGTGTCAGCTGGGTCAAGTGGCCCATGCCAGCTTAAAAACCTCCCCCCACCCATTGTTTTGGTAGTGATGGTTCATGATGTTTACCTGGAAAGAGATTTTTTTTTTTTTTTCTCGAAGCAGTGGGAGGGCTTTGCCAGTGGGACAAGAGGCTATTTTTGCAATCCTCTCTTAGTGAGTGGATGCTGGTTTTAGATTGTGCGTCCTTCCCTCCCACGCCATCTCATTTCCATCTAGTATGTCGTATTTCTCTCCCTTCTCTCCACTCCTGGCCCCCTCGATGCTTGCCTTTGGAAGGGGTTGGGGGATTTTGTGTCTTCCCCCATGTGTCTTTCTCCATATAGAAGGAAGGAAAGAAAACACCAAATTCTCATCTTTTCCTTTCACACCATAGGGGCAGAAATAACATGAGCCCTTATTTTCTGCCTTTCTTTCTTTTTCCCGATGTATCTCTTCCCCCTAGATTTGAAGCTCTTCCATGACTTCTGGTCACCTGCAGTGTGAAAGGAGGAGGCTGTTCCATTCTGCTTGACTCGGGTGTTCCTTCTCTGGGGCATCCTCCCAGCACAATGCCGCTCTCTTCGTCCCTTTAATGACTTGGCCTGCCAGCCCTATGGATGTTTCTGGGCCACAGGACCCTTGCATCTTCTTACGTTCACTTCAGTGCCTGCTTCACTCAGCACTTTGAGTATAAGGTCTTAGAACTGCCGACTAGCAATAACAGAGAAAACGTCTTTAGATAGAGCATTGCCCAACACAATCGTACTTTATAACAAAATTTTATTAGGATTAAGTCAAATTAGAAAACTTCATGCTTCAACACCATTAATTACCTGGAATGACCAGATTATACATAGCTGAGTACAAAACACTTTGTGTCCCTGGAGTCCTCGGTTTGGAAAGCAAGATCGATGCCTGGCACCACCGTGGTTACTGTTTAAGGCTTAGCAAGTGGTCAGCAAAGCTTTGGGCTGAGAAAGACATCATTCCCTACCTCCCTCAAAAGCAGACTCATCATAGCCCGGGCACCTAAGACTGGAGCCCACTTTTTCGAGTCTAATATTATAATATCTGTATTTCAAGAGAAGCCAGGCTTGAGGTATCTTTATGGCTTAAAAGGCGCAGGTCATGCAGCTGAATGGAAAGCCGTTGTATTGGTCTCTCAAGTGCCGGCTGTGAGCCACGCCTTGTAAGGGGGTCCTGGCATCCACCCCTGACCCCTCAGCGTGGCCTCCTCATCATGGGCTCTGTGGCTCTCCCCTGCCCCTGCGTGCTTACCAGCTGTGAGCGCTGGAGCCACCGGGCAGGTGGCTGGTCGGGGCTCTGAGTACAGTCTTCAGCCACGGGGAGAGCAGCCTGTGCTGCAGAACCTCATGATCCACGACCCAGAGGGGACCCACCCCCAAGCCTAGAAGGGACTCAGATGCAAGCAAGGACAGGGAGGATCACTCTTCATGTACAATATGGTATGGGGGAAAAGAAAGCTGCTTTCCCCAGAAGGGGTCCTACCAGGGGGAAAGTGGCCCTGCGTGTAACACAGAGCACACCAACTCCTTCCAAAATGGGAGCAGCGGCTTGTAAGGGATGCCAACCCTGACGCCGCAGGGGTCTTGTTAGACATCAACAGTGGGTATCGAGCCTTTATCTGACTCTGCAAATAATCCTGGGGTCATTTAGAACAAGTGGTGATGGGGGGGTCTAGGCCTTAAAAACATAAAATTTATCACTTAAAAATACCAGACATTCCCTTAGGAGCAACATTTTACTCAGAGGCTCTTTTTCTTATTTTTAAACCCTCCTTAATGAAGGGACTAAGGAGCCCTGGTGGCACAGTGGTTAAGTGCTCAGGTCAGGGGTTCGGATCCACCAGCCACTCTGAGGGAGAAAGATGTGGCAGTCTGCTTCCATAAAGATTACAGCCTTGGAAACCCTACGGGGCAGTTCTACTCTGTCCTATAGGGTCAAAATTAGTCGGAATTGACTTGAGGGCAATGGGTTTTGTTTTGGTTAATGAAGGGATTAAAATTCATAATCTAACTGAAGGGCGTGGGTAGATGGGCACAGAGAAGGAACAGCCTGCAGGCACAAAAGTATCAGTTTTGTTCTTATACCAGCTAGACTCCAGACCCTGTCCCCTCTCTGTCCTACCCAATTCATTAATAAAAATGGCTGCTGTCAAAAGTTGCATAATATAGAGGGATGACCGTAAACTCCCATTTCTCCAGGCACCAGAGGATTTACATGTGACAAGGTTTTGATTCTTTCCAGTCTATGCTCTTCAGACCTTTTCCAGCCTCTCCCCTCCATTGCCTCATCAGCTTGGCTTGGGTTCCTCCTTCGGTGAGCCTTGCGTTACTTGTGATTACATTCGCACTGCTCAGGCCAATTAATTCAGCTGGGATTGACCCGGAGTTTGCTCAAGTTTGAGTTCGTAGCCTCCCAGGCCGAGGTCCCCCTCGTAAATGTTTTCCTTGCTCGGAGTCTGGGGTGAAGCGTTGGAGTCCAGCCCCAGCCTTGCGGGAGTACTGCAGGGTGAGGAGACTTGCTCCTGGTAATTCATGGCTAGTTCGTCCTGATTGACAATGCATTCCACATCGTCCTCTTTTAGATGTTCCTGGATTATGGAGAGAGAGAGAGGTCACTTCATGATGAAGACAGAAGACAACAGCAGTCCCCTGGAGTGCAAGAAAACAGGGTGTGTGTTTTCCTTTTCTTAACTACCCTCGTCTTGTGTGGGGGCTCGTTTCCATCTAGGGCAGAAACCATCTTTTCCAACCTGTGAGCAGAGGGTAGCATGTCACTAAGTCAACATTAAGGATGTGACACATAACACAGTCCTAAGGGATCTTAATTAAGCACTCCGCTGCTACCCGAAAGGCTGGATGTTCAAACCCACTCAGTAGCTCCACTGGAGAAAGACCTGGCGATCTGTTCTTACAAAGATTACAGCCTAGAAAACCCTATGGGGCAGTTCTACTCTATCACATGGCATCACTATGAGTCAAAATCGACTTGAAGGTGTCTATCGACAACAATAACAACACAAGAGACCCCTAAGCCTATAGTAAGAGTCATTAGAGACCATGTGCTAATTAAGTGCCTTCTTGGGTTTAAAAAAAAAAAAACCAGTTGCCCCCACTCCATTGGACTCAGGAAGACCCTATATGTGTCAGAGTAGAACTGTGCTCCATATGGTTGTTTTGGAAGTAGATTGTCAGACCTTTCTTCTGAGGTGCCTCTGGGTGGTTGGACTCCAGCCTCCAACCTTTTGGTTAGCAACCGAGAGTGTGTTAACCATTTGCACTGCCTGGGGGACTCCCTCCTTTGGTTAACAGTTAAAATGGAGTTCAATGACTATTTCCTCCACTGGCTGAGGAGTTGAGAGGAGTTAGCAGAGTTCTGTGACCTCAGAGTAGCCAGTGATTCTCAGTGCTGGTTGTGTAAGAGCCCTGCATATCATCACAAAACTCTCAATATGTTTCTTGGGATGGGTGTCACAAGGCTAAAGATGGTTGGAAATCAAAGTGGATAACGGCTGAAACGAACTGAATCTGGCCAATCCAGTTTTCCTCAGACAAAAGGTCCCTTGAAGCAAAGAATTAAGGTCTCAATTCTTCTTCCATTGGCTTTGGGAAAGCCACAGGCAATTATTTGTAGAATGAGCCCTGGTTAAATGATCTTAGGCCAGGGGTTTCCAGCGTTAGCCTGTATCACAGTCATTTAGCAGTTGTTGGGTGCTGTCGAGTTGATTGCAACTCGTAGCGACTCCATGTGACACAGTAGAACTGCCCCATAGGGTTTCCTAGGCTGTCACCTTTACAGGAGCAGATCCCAGGTGTTTTGTCCTGAAGAGCAGCTGGTGAGTTCCAGCTGCCAACATTTTGGTTAGCAGTCGAGTGCTTAACCATTGCACCACCAGGGCTCCTTTTTGAGTCACCTAAAGGGTTTGTTAGAAAACAGATTGCCCAGAGTTTCTGAGGCAGGGCCTGAGAATTTGCCTTTCTAGCAAGTTTCCAAGAGATGCTGAGGCTGCTTGTCCGGGGACCCGCTTTGAGAATCACTGCCTTAGGCTGTTGCGCCCTGAACCCATCTGAGATTCATTTTTCTACATTTATGCAAGGTGGTGGCCAGCTGGACAACCTCTAAAGGCACTTCATACTGGAAGATTCTGCTCTTCTTCGATTCCCTGACACTCTGATTTGCTGGTAATGATTCTAGTTGCTTCTCTGCACTTTTTATTCCACTCCCTTGAGCTATAAAGCACAGGCCTAATATTCAAAACCTCAACACACAGCAGTTTGCGGGGAGGCCACTTTACTTCTTTTACATTTTCTAGGTTCACTTCATGGTTAAAAAATACTGGTAACGATAAAAAATTGCATTTGTAAAAGAAGAATAAGCCAACATCAGCAACAACTGAAAAGAGAAGACAAAAAGCTTCTTGGAACAGCCAATTTTAAAAATGCTTCCTCTTCCAGCTGGGAAATAACAGCCTGAGGTTCCTGAGCTTATCAATGTTCACCGAGCCTGTCCCACGTGGGACGTCTACTCACCCCGTAGGCCTGCGGACTGGTGAGCAGCCTGGAAATTGGACTGCACCATTCTGGTAACGTGGTGGTCAGTGGAGGCCCAGAATGGGTTAAAATGGGTTTCAGGTATCTGCGAGGCCTGTTAAGGAATACTTGCCAGAAGGTAGTTAGGATTTAACCTGGTTAGTTTCTCACACAGCACAAACCTTTGCCTTCCCCTTTAAATCCCTTTCTCCTTCATTTAGGTAGCAATTCAGCATGCCAAAATTGCTGTTCAAAATCTTTGCTCCACACACCTCTGCAGCCCTCCTGATGGTCTTTAATCATGAAAGGGGAAGGGTCCGGGAAACATCAGCAGGAGGTGTGCACGCTCCTCTGCCCGTCCCATCCCCCACTCAATGTCTCCTCTGTTTAGAAAAAGCATTCTTAAGACTTACCTTAAACAATAGCATAAAATATTATGTTCTCTTAAAATGGCACACATCGATTAAGCCACCAGTAATTTTGCCAAGATGCAAGAGGTATTTCATACAATGTTCAGTTATTTTAGAGCGGGGTAGTGCACATAGATTGTTTTCCAAAATACTTTATTTTCACTGTTCAACACAGTTGCTTTATACTTCATACATCAATGCATCGCTATACGAAATTATGTAAATAGGCTGGTGCCAGGTTTTTTTCCCATTGTCTAGCACCTGTCTTTCTCATCTTTTCATCCCAAAGTGCTCTAACAAGTTAAAAGAAAAACCTGTTCATCTAAAGCCATTATGTTCCCCTCCAATCTATCAGTAATGAAATCCCCGGTGGCTGCCTCGGGTTGCCTTATTTTTTATTTTTTGCTCAAAGAAAAGCAGTGGAAGTATTTCAGCATTCCATCAGAAACGACTTTTAAGCTTTATATTATTTCCTCTGCTGGAGAATATTTCACCTCATCAACTTTCTGAAAAGCTATAACAAATAGTGAAAGGGAAAGAATGGAAAGCAGTTAACACCAGCTGGCTTATGGAGATCTGCAGTCTCCCACCAAGCCCTCAGGATGGGAGAAGACCTTGGCAATGGCCCCACTGGGACCTGTCTGTCGCTGGACAACAGCACTGTGACATCCCCATGGTGCTGAGTGCGTGGGCACAGGGCGAGGATGAGCCCAGAGGGGCTGGGAATCTGCTTCACTCTGGCAACAGATCGCTCCTCACCACAGAAGTAGCAAACGGGATGCTCACGAACACAGCTAGCTCTGATGCAAGGAGAGCGAACGAAAAGATGCTTGACAGAGTCGGTAATTGCAACTGCAGGAGAAAAAATTGACTCCTCCTTTCAGACAGGCAGCTCTTGTGCCCGGTGCAGTACCAGGGAAGATATTAAAGTTCAGAGTCTGGCATTTGCTGTAACATCTTGTAATTATATCTACAAATCTGAAAGGCTCTTGATGATCTTCCATTCATTTTCATTACTGATTGTTATTTCCTTCATTTTATGGACGAAGGAACTGAGGCCTAGAGATATAATGATTTTAAATAATCCAAAGGCTCCCTTTGCTATTTGAATCCACCATCATCATCATCCCTAGGGGAAAAGAATGACAGGGGCAGAAGTATGCATTGTGACCAGCTGGGTTCTGCAGAATAAAGCACACAGACGTCATCTCAGGCGAGGCATGTGAGGACGCGTAAATGTGTAAGGGCTTATGGTCTGCATAGGTCAATGCAAAAGGCTTTTCTAGGGAGGTCAGGTGGACAAGGTCTATGTACAACGGGAGTGTAAATCAAAGAAAATCCAGCCAATTTCATTTCCAGATAGAACAGTGACAGCAGGTAAGCAACATTTGTAGAGATGTCATGTAAAAAAAAAAAAGGAAGAAGTTTGTCGAGGCTCTCAGAGTTTGAAAGAGGCTTGAGCAATTTTCATTGTTTGAGGTTCTCAGTGTACTAAAAAATACACATGCGAAATGCCAAAATAATGTTACAAAAAGAAAGCACAAATTTAGAGTTGCATAGTGAACATTTTCTTCTTTTAATTCCGATGATGTATGTCTGACTCTGTGTGTAATGTTATTCGAAAACTTAAAGGCTAAATTTACAGCATTTTGTGAGTGTGAGTCCCCATCTCAATGGGTTCTGAGATTTTGACTCAGAATACTTGGACATAAATGCCAGCTCTTCCACTTTACAGATTATATGACTTGTGGTCTAGTTATTTACCCCTCTGACCCTCAAGTATTGTTGTAAATATTAACTGAAATAATATATGTAGAAGTCGTTTGTAAACTTTTATGTGATATTCAAATGCTACCTCTCTCTCTATCATCTCTCTAGCTATCATCTCTCTAACTCTCTATCTCCATCTATCTCTCTATCATGTATCTATCTATCTATTTATCATCTATCCATCCATCCATCCATCCATCCGTCTACCTATCTTTTCAGAGCAATGTTTTCTGGAGAAACTAGTATCTCCATCATTGTTCAAATAATGGTGGAAAAACAATACTGAGGTGAGAGAATGACACTTCAGGCATTTGGTGTAGTTTCAGGACTCATGCTATTTAGTGGGTGGAAAATCTATGCTTATCCTACATCAAAAATAGCTAATTGGGTTAAAAACTGTTGTATGAGGAGCTAGCATGAGGTGGTAGGGAGAATTTATAAGACTCTTTGGGAAGCATATGATTCAGTTTTGGCTGTTCTGTATCTCTGTAGCTGTGAGTCAAAGGAAGGGGGTGTAACCCTGTGGTCGTGAATGGAATGGGCAAGGGAGGTACTGTCAATGGCCATGGTAAATGTGGGGGCAAAGTCTATGTTCTCCAACACCTTGGTCTGCCCAGTGCTTGCCATATAGTATGTGTTCAATGGATTTTAAAAATATTTTTACATGTTTAATTAATACGTTTGAAAATAGTCTTATCTTAGTGTTCAGAATTAATTTCTACATTTCTACCTTTAATCACCTCAAATAAACAAATGAATGAGCACTGGGGTGGCCAAGGCTGAGGCTGGCAGAATCATCCTGTCCACTTGGTTCCTTTGTGTCTCTTCTATAGTGGCTGCTTTTTGGC